TTCCTCCTCATCTTCTCCAGGTTGGCTTTGCCCAGGACACCCCACCATCAATGAGGGCCTGCCCCTCCCAGGGAGCAGCAAAGGGGAATGGGATGGGTATAAATGAGATTAAACTGGGGAGGGGACAAGCTAAAAGTAGAATTTGAGGTCACCTAAGTGCCATCTCTAAGCATGTGGCTTTACCCACCTGGGGCCAGGTAACAGCAGCATCTCTAAGCAGCACAGAGGAGTATTTCCAGTCGTGGTTCATGCCTGGGTGGGTTCTGGGGCTGGCCAAGCACAGGACAGGCTTTCCAGGCTCAGTATCCAGCTCACTCAAGTGTGCAAGAGTGGTGTTCTTGTGCTGGGAGATTCAGACAGGCTCAAAACTGGGGAAAAAAACCCAACAAAACAGAAAAAAACCCCAGTATTAAACCAAATCTCCTGCTGGATGGACAGCTACGAGCACTTCCCATGACCTCCATGTGTGCTCTGTATGTAAATGTCATTTTCCTCAGCCTGGAATGCTCTGAAGAAACAAATAATCACTCTGTGGGGAGACTGTGATAATTAAAAAGTGATGACACAGGGCAGGGACTTCCTCCTCCTCCTCCTTCTTTTCCTCCTTTTCTTCTTCCTCCCTCCTTGCAGCAGTTTGTGTATGGGCAAGGAAGACTCTGAACTGTTTGGTGTGTCAGGACCAGAGGTAATTCCAATGAAATTCCACCATCCAGCCTCCACCATTGTGAGATCTCTCATTCCAGCGCAGTCAAAGTCTGCTGGTGAGGGGAATTATGCATTTATTTAAAGTAATCTGGATATTTATCTCACATTTAAATGAATAAATATGAAATTACATGACAGCAGAGTCTCCAGCAGAATCAAGGACCTTGCATTGAACCTACAGGAAACCTACACCTCCAGGAGCCCATCCCTGCTTCAGAGATTGAGGAGAAAATTCCTTTCTCATGGACAGAACACAGAAACACCCACCACAGTCACTCCTCACTGACAGGCTGCACAGCCCTGAAAATCCTAAGGAATTATTGCAGCCAAGGTCAAGGAGGAAAAAGGAGGTGTTGGAAGGATCTGCCCCCAGCCAGTGTTTCCTGATCACAGTTTTCTTCTCAATGCCTGTTTTCTCCTCTCTACAATGGGACTAATCCCAATTAAATGTGTTTATGGGAGGTGTGTCTGCAAGAAAATATTAAATTGGAAGCATGAGCCCGCCAGCCTCTGGGATTTCCCACATTTATCTTTATTTTTACCCTAATTAACTAATGAATGTCTCAGACTTGCCTTTCAGTTCCCATTGAAAATCTCCTTGTTCAGCTCCTGTGTTCAGCATCCTCCTGTTGCCATGGCAAAAAATGCTGTGACATCACCTCCACAAATAAAGCTGCCAGACCCCAAAATTCACATGTGGGGCTGGGGAGGAATCCTGATAAATTAAGGGGCAAAGGGCTACCATGTCCAAGCAGAAAACTGAATTAGATGGAAAAGCATCAGATGATAATATTTTATTATTTGATAATTATTTGATAATTATTTGATAATTATTTGATAATGATGGGGTTTACTTTTAAGGAAGAAACTGCCACAGTTGGATGTGAATTCAACTTTGAATTCAAATTCAATGAAAGTTGAATTCTGTGACCCTTCACAGAATAGTGAAGGGTCCAGCCCTTCCTGGGATAAGATTTCTCAGCACAGAAAGAAATAAGCTCAGATGGAGGTTTTAGGCTGTGGGGACAAATGAAGTGTCTCCATTAATGGGGAGGGGGAATATTGAATCAGGGAAATAATACTTAGTTTGGGAAATTGTGGCAGATTCCTGCAGGCTTGGCCATTTTACTGGTAAAAACACAAATTCAGACCCTCCTTGAGAGCTGCTCTGTCAAACAAGGCTCAAGGAAGGGAACAGCTGCCCAGCAAGGAAATCTCACAGGCTCTTCCCACACTTCTTTCATTTCTACTTTTCCTTTTACTCCTCTTTATTCCAGGACCTTTAAAGAACAGGTTTGATATCGGGTCTAAGCCAGCTCCTGTCCTACAGCAGGAGACAGGACGGAAATGATTCCTGCAGCTCCTGTCAGTTCTACACCTCCATGACTCATCCCAGTACTTTGTTTTCACCTCCATCCCTGTTCCAGAGACGGAGCTGCGGTTCCCTTGCAAATGTCACAATGTCTGCAGGATTTTCCCCAGGCCCTGGCTGCCAAAGGGACTCTATCCCATGGGAAACAAAAGCTCCAGCCCCAAACGGGACAGGAGGCACAGCCCCAGCCCCACACCAGATGGGGACCTGAGCCCTGGTCATGTCACACAGGGGACTGAGCCCCACATCGTGTGAGATACCGGCTGTATCTCACCCCAGATCACACCGGGGTTCTGATCTCAGCCCCACAGCGTTCAGGGCACCAGGCCCCTCACTGCTGGCCCCCTCAACATACTGATCTGAGTGCCCAGCCCCACAGAAAACACAGCCCCACAGAGCTCACAGCCCCACAGAGCTCACAGCCCCACACACAAAGCTCACAGCCCCACAGAACTCACAGCCCCATAGATCTCACAGCCCCACAGAGCTCACAGCCCCACAGAACTCACAGCCCCACACACAAGGCTCACAGCCCCACAGAACTCACAGCCCCACAGATCTCACAGCCCCACACACAAAGCTCACAGCCCCACAGAGCTCACAGCCCCACAGAACTCACAGCTCCATAGATCTCACAGCCCCACACACAAAGCTCACAGCCCCACAGAACTCACAGCCCCCCAGAACTCACAGCCCCCCAGAACTCACAGCCCCCCAGAACTCACAGCCCCCCAGAACTCACAGCCCCCCAGAACTCACAGCCCCCCAGAACTCACAGCCCCCCAGAACTCACAGCCCCCCAGAACTCACAGCCCCCCAGAACTCACAGCCCCCCAGAACTCACAGCCCCCCAGAACTCACAGCCCCCCAGAACTCACAGCCCCCCAGAACTCACAGCCCCCCAGAACTCACAGCCCCCCAGAACTCACAGCCCCCCAGAACTCACAGCCCCCCAGAACTCACAGCCCCCCAGAACTCACAGCCCCCCAGAACTCACAGCCCCCCAGAACTCACAGCCCCCCAGAACTCACAGCCCCCCAGAACTCACAGCCCCCCAGAACTCACAGCCCCCCAGAACTCACAGCCCCGCAGAGCTCACAGCCCCACACCACACAAGGCTCACAGCCCCACAGAAAACACAGCCCCACAGGGCTCACAGCCCCACAGAACTCACACCCGCACAGAGCTCACAGCCCCACACACAAAGCTCACAGCCCCACAGAGCTCACAGCCCCACAGAACTCACAGCCCCACAGAACTCACAGCCCCACACAACTCACAGCCCCACACAGGGGGCTCACAGCCCCACAGAACTCACAGCCCCACACACAAGGCTCACAGCCCCACAGAACTCACAGCCCCACAGAGCTCACAGCCCCACAGCACACCTCACCCCCACGGCCTGTCCCCGCCACCCCCGGAACGCGCTGCCCCCGGAACGCCCGTGCGCGGCCGCGGTGCGCGGGGGCCGGGCGGTGCCGGGGCGGTGCCGCGGGCGCGCAGGCGCCGCTCCCGCCCGGCGCCATCGCGGCTGCTGCGGCCACCCCGGGCCGGCCATGGCCACCGACTCGTGGGCCCTGGCCGTGGACGAGCAGGAGGCGGCGGCCGAGTCGGTGAGTGCGCCCCGGGGCCCGCGGGGGCTCGGGATGGCCCGGCCCGGCCCGGCCCGGCCCAGCCGTGCGGGGTCCCCCGGGACGCGCGGCCTCCGCCTCCTCCTGACAGAAAACAGCGATCGCAGAAAGCCTTTTTCTCCTCATTTTCTACCGTGGGGGCAGGGAGGGCCCGGGGTATCTGATTGTCCCTTTATAAGTAAAACCCCCAGTTTTATTTATATATTTACTTACTTATTTACTTACCGTTATTTTTAAATTTTTTTCTCCTTCATCCATTTTTTGCGCATCCAAAGGGCAAAGATGTCCCTGGTGTCCCCCTCGCCCTCCATCCAGACACTGCACCGCTTCAGCCTCGGCTCTGTGTTCCAGCATCCAAAAAAATCCCTCTTTCTTTCATATATTTTTTAATGAAAAGATGTAACTTCGTACCTCAGAAAAATTGTTTTCTGTTTTTTTCTGTTCTTGAGCAGAGAACACTCACTGAGCTGAGGATGTGGGGAAGACCCTCAGGGCTGCTCTTCCTGCACATCTCAGGTGGTGAAACAGAATCGTCCTGGGGCAGCTTGTGCCGGCCAGGACAGTGCATGGATCCTGTTTCCATCCTGGAATGCTGATTTTGTCCCGTTTTCCAGCAGTAGAGCTATTAGGGAGTGGAGGCTGCAGCACAGAAAACAACCCCTTCCCTGTGTTGTCATTACAGCTTAGAAAAACTTGTATTTCTGTTAAAAGCTCCTGCTTAGAAATAGTCATATGAAAATTCTTGAAATCAAGTTCCTCTTGTATCTTCATCCCTTCCAGTTGAGCAGGGTTTGTGCAATACTTGATAAATCCAAAGCTCAGGTTTTCCTGGCTGCAGTTAGAATATAGGGAGCTATATTTAAATTTCTCTGATTTTATGTTTTTCCTCGTTTCTAGCTGAGCACTTTACACCTGAAGGACGAAAAAACCAAACCAGATGCCAATGGTGAGTTCCAGCTGCTCAGATGGGTTTGGAAAGGGTGGAATGTTTCCCTGTGGGGGTTCAGAGCGCTGCTGCCAAAGTAAATTCCTGATAAATCATGAAATTCCAGAAGAGCTGAGATTAAGCAGCAGCACAAACTCAATGTTTTGGTGTCTCGGGGTGTGGTTGCTAAACTCCACTTGGAGCTCATGCTTGGGTTTTCTCTACACTGCAGGGCAGTTCTCCTCAGGAAAATGAGCTGTTTTGTAGCTTTTCCTAGGATTTTCCAGAGTTAAATTCATTTTAACAGGGTGTGGGCTGTCTCTGAGGCCTGACCTCACCTGTGCCCCCCTAAACTGTTCCAATTCAGGTGCCGTTGTCAAGGCAGATGACAATGTGGAGAAGACAGAGGATGAGGAGAAGGGTGAGTGCCTTTCTGAAAAAAGCTTTGGCAAGGAAATTAATTTAATTATAATTATATTGATTTAATATATACTTAAAGTAAGTCTGCCTTATGTCTCAGGACAGCTGATCTTGTATCCTGCCCCAAGGACTTAATTGTAAGACATGTCCTTCCTCCATAACACTTTTAAAGGCATTGTGTCCTGTAATAACTTGGGAGACTCCTGGATTAGAGTGGAGAGAAATAAGGGGATAGCAGTATCCTCAAGGCAGGACTGGATACAGGAGCAGTTGGATAACCTGGAGCTGGGATTGCTGTAGCAACCAACAAGTTGCGTTTATGCAGTGGCTGTTCAGAGGTGGGTAACGGCTCGAAATCTTTCAGAAGGTGGTTTTAGGAAACAGATTTAGTAACAAAACCCCAAAGTGCAGTAGTTTAACCTCGTTTGGATCTCCCTTATCCTCAGCCCTTGTGATTCAGCTCTGAAATCTTTTAAAGCACCGTTTATTCTCAGAGTTTCCTTAAAAATAAAACTCTTAAGAGGTGTCTGCCCATGTGTCAGAGTGGGGGTTGAGGAGGCCTTACCCTGCCCCAGGTAGATGCTAAGCTGAAATAATCTTAAATAAGCAGAGATCTGGATCTGTTAAAAAGTCCCCCTTAGAACAGTGCTTGTTTGATTTGTCTTCCTGGGTATTAAATGGGGGAATCTCTGGGATCTCTCAGTGTCTCATCCAGGAGGTTTGGGCTCTTCAAGCCATTACACACCAATGAAGAATTTCAGTATTTGGAGGGTTTTTGTCCCTTTTAACTGGCTCAGGATTTCAGTGGGAGTAAGACCTGGAACAGGCTGTAACTGATGGATTTCTGTTTTCCACCTCCTTTCCCAGAGGACAGAGCTGCCCAGTCCTTACTGAACAAGCTGATCCGCAGTAACCTGGTTGACACCACAAATCAGGTGGAGGTGCTGCAGAGGGATCCCACATCACCCCTCTACTCTGTCAAGTCTTTTGAGGAGCTGCGCCTGTAAGTGCCTGCTGGGATGAGCCAGAGCTGTTAAATCCTGCCATCAGATACATTTAATAGGCTCCCTTATAACTGGATTTTTCAGTTTGTCATGGGGAGCCTTATTCTTAAACTCAGGGAGAGAGAACAGTTTTGCTAAAACTGCCAGAGCAGATGGGAGTTTGGAGTCCAAAGGATAACTGGAACCTCTCCTCATGTCCTGAAAAATTCCCTGGTTGCATAGGACATATCACTTAAAAGTACATGGGTTTGTGTTTCAGGTTACTGCAGACCTGTCATTAATAAGTGAGTGTATCATTTGTATTATTTAAATGCAAGGAGAGTTGGTTTATCTGGGTGCCTGGTGGGAGTTTCCATCTGAAACAACAGCAGTGAACAGCACAAAGGGAAAAGCTTATCTTCTCCAGCATACTGGATTTATGTACTGGACAGACCAGTATTTTCTGACTTCCTCTCCTCTGAAAACCTCCACCAGTGCAGCTTTCAAGGGATGATAACTGAATTTAAGGCATGATTGATGGGTATATTTATTAATATGCTGAAGAGTGCATCTTGTTGGGATTGTCATGCTTGCACTGATCTCAGGTTTGTTGCTCTACAAGCTCTGCAGGAAAATGGGAGCTAAAGAGCCTTCTCCCCATGAAATGCCAGGATGTTTTGCTTTGTTAGTGTTCGTGCTTGAATATCTACAAAAAGAAGCTGAGGTCCTGCAGTGCCTGTTAGGCTAATTCATTCCTGTGTTTCAAAAGGCAAACAATCCCAGGGAGTTAATGACAGGGACAGGCAGCCTAATTGAGTCTTCAGTTTGTTATGATTCGGGGTATCCTTGGCAACTGGTGCAGAGCTGGGCTTCGTCTGTCCTTGCTTGGAGTAGCACAAGGTTACATTTTCAAAGAGCTTTTGTTCTGGTCATGGTTGGGAAGTCATAGAGGATTTTTGCAAAAGCATGTTGTGCTGAATAGGAAGTTACTGCAGTGGGAAATGCAGGCACGAGACCTGTAACCTGCTTTGAAAGGAGAGCCCTTCTGAGAGCACTCACAGCATCCAGAGAGTGCTTGGGGGTCATCAGCTGAGAGTTTCCAGCACCATTCCATGGATTTAGGTTGTTCTGGGTTCTCCTTGTCTACACAAGTGTCTGCTAAGAGTAGAAAGCTCCCTCAGAGAAAGCAGCAGATGAGAGTTTTGCTGGCCTGCAGTGTCACCACACAGCTGTGGGTGTGAGGGTTGGTTTGCAGCCACGGATCACAAAGTGTAGTGACAGCAAACCGAGCTAATGATCAGTCATTTACCTGAGCCAGCATCACTCAGCTGTATTACAGAATCCACACGACTTCCTCAAGTCCTTGCAAAGATCTCAAGATCCCTTCATCCTGTTCCTCACGCTTTGTCCCGTGTTTGAGTCATCGAGGAATGATAATTTCGGCACCAAGATTAGACATGGCTGAGCAAATGGGATTGGCCTGAAGGACAAGATTAATGCTTTCTGCTCTGGGGTTCCTGGATTGTCTGAAAAGCTGCTTTGGAACAAGCAGTGCTGGCCTTAGACACAGGCTTTGCCCTCAAGCTGGGACAGGCAGGCTGACTTATTAAATCCAGGGGTTTTTATAAAGCTTCCTGTCCAAACTTCCTGCTGTCACTTGTAGCTTCCAGATTCTGACCACAGTTCTTTCATGGGTGGGATTGTAGCAGGGACAGCTCTAGGATGTCTTCTTGAGGGTTTTTTTCACCTTTTTGTACAAATATGAAAACTAAATGAATTTAAATAGGTCATGACATAAAAATTTTCCTTTTCAGGAAACCACAGCTCCTGCAAGGAGTCTATGCCATGGGCTTCAACAGACCATCTAAGATCCAAGAGAATGCCCTGCCCATGATGCTTGCTGAACCGTATGTACACTTCCTTCCTACTCTCTACCAGAATAGAAAGATTTGAAAGGTTCATTGTGCTGCTCCTGAATTTTGGATGAGAGGAGGGTGATGGAGAAACTCTCAGGATATGGAGAAAGGGTTCCCATGCCACGGTGTTTCTGTGGTTATTAACTGTGTGACACTGGATTTAACTGTATGAGCCCTGGATTTGTCCTTTTCCTAGGGCTGGTACTGAGCATGCAGTGCTGTGGGGTTTGGGACGTCCGTACCATTTTCCTCATTAGTTTGGGAAGAAATAATACAAAATAGCTCAGAAATCCTGGGTGGGTAGGAGTAGCTTTGGTTCTGATTTTCCTCTCCACAACCCTGAGCTGGAATGTGTGAGGTTCTGGGGAATGTCTGAGCCACTGGGGAAGGTGTGTGAAATGGGAAATCACTACGAGATAACCACAGTTCTCCTTCCAAAATCTCCATCATTGAGAAACATTGGGCAGGAAATAATAATGGAGCATAGCTGGTCAGGTTGGCCATGGATCCAGAGCAGGGCTAAATGTGACAGGATTCAAATGCCACCGTGGTGCTTCACCCTCTGAGCTGTGCCTGCTGTGCCCCCAGCCCGCAGAACCTCATCGCGCAGTCGCAGTCCGGTACTGGCAAGACAGCTGCCTTCGTCCTGGCCATGCTCAGCAGGGTTGAGCCTGGGAACAAGTATCCACAGGTAAAGTCTGTGGGATGTGGCTGTTTTAGGGTGTTCCCTGGTGGTGCAGTGCCATCTAGTGAAAAGCCTGAGCTGCTGGGAGGACTTCAGATGTAAATTCATGGCTTGGTGGAGACATGGTGTTATTTCTTTTAAATTGCTTAAAGGGCGTGGAGGTTTGGGAGTTCATCAAAAATGCCTTCAGTGCAAAAGATGTGGATTTTGCTCAAAGCTTGTTCCTGTCTGTCCTTCCTGTGCATCACACAGGGTGCCATTGCTCTGTGAGGAGTTAAATCTTTCTGGGAGGACTTAAATCAGAGAAATAGTGCAGACTGAAGGGGCTTGGATCAGTGGGTTTGGTGTAGAAGAGAAGGAACTGTGACAACAGAGCAGACAGTGCCTGGAAAGGGACTTCATAAATCAGATTTCCTCATGGGATGATTGAGAAACTGTTCAGCCACTTGGATGTTTGTCTTGAAGAAAACTTCAACAAGGATTTTAAAAACCAAGTGTGATAGTGTTGCCCTGGATGTTGATCACCTCATTTGTTATCCTTCTGTTTCTCCAGTGTTTGTGCCTTTCCCCAACATACGAGCTGGCACTTCAGACAGGAAAAGTGATTGAACAGATGGGAAACTTCTACCCAGAGCTGAAACTTGCATACGCTGTCCGAGGCAACAAACGTGAGTAAGGGGAAACACCACAAACAGGAGGAGGGAGTGGTGCTCCTCAGAGCAGTCAGGTGGTGAAATAGCTGGGTCAGAGAGGGATGGAGCATTTCCCTGCCTGCACAGCCACCCTAGAGCAGCCCTTCCTTCTGTCTCGGCAGTGGAGAGAGGGCAGAAGATCTCAGAGCAGATCGTAATCGGCACGCCTGGCACCGTGCTGGACTGGTGTTCCAAACTGAAATTCATAGACCCCAAGAAGATCAAGGTGTTCGTGTTGGATGAGGCAGATGTGATGATCGCCACCCAGGGCCACCAGGACCAGAGCATCCGCATTCAGAGGTACAGAGCAGTGCCACAGGGACAGCGGGGCTGCAACAAGATTGAAATGATACATTAGCTCTAGGGTGAGGCACTGACATAGAGGCACAATATCAGGGGATGACAAGCAGTTTCATTTCCTTACAGAATAAAAATCCTGTCCCTGGAGCAGGGTTTATTCCTTTTAAAGATGGTAAGTCTAGATGCCTGTGGTCCCATGAGGGAGCAATCATGGGTGGGCAAGATTGGTTTTAGTCTTTCCAGGCACTGAAATTACTGGTTCCAGGGTTATGGTTCTCCTTTGAATTCCATCAGGATATCAGGAGTGTTGTGTGGGAACTCTCCCTATTTCTCTCTCTTTCAGAATGCTCCCCAGGGACTGCCAGATGCTCCTGTTTTCAGCCACTTTCGAGGATTCTGTGTGGAAGTTTGCTCAAAAAGTTGTTCCTGACCCAAACATTATCAAACTGAAGCGTGAGGAGGAGACCCTGGACACCATCAAGCAGTATTATGTTCTGTGCAACAACAGAGATGAGAAGTTCCGGGCTCTGTGTAACATCTACGGTGCCATCACCATTGCCCAGGCCATGATCTTCTGCCATGTGAGTGCTTCCAGGGAATGTTACTCCTAGTGACCCCCTTCAGCACTCTGCAAGTGCTGAAACCAAGCCAGACACGGTTTCCAGAAAGGAACTGAGTACAGAATTGCCCTTTTTGGCTTCTGTGGCTCCCATTTTGAGTGAAATCCTAAAAGCCCCATTAGCACTGGCTGGTTTGATTCTCTGGTTTGTCCATCCAGGAGACAACACGAGTTTTTTTTATTGCTGAATAGTCATTGTTATCCCTGAAGTCCTCTGAAGAAAAGCTCTGAGTAATGCATATTTTTCCAAAATTCTGAACTACTGAAAAAAAAAAAAAGTGGGGTTGGAAAATGCATGGAAATAAGGCAGAATGAGGGATTGGGAAGTCTTGTGCTTCTCTAGCTGATACAGAGCTGTTCCTGGGACTTCATTTCCCTCAGGTAATTGAGGATACACCTCTGGGATCTCACTGTGAATCATACTGAGACTTGGTTTTCATTTTCTGGAAGCCACCATAATAATTTTCAAGGAAAAATCAGTGTTGACAGCACAGAACAGCTCCTGTCTGAGCTCAGACAGGATGAAAGTGTTTGGAGCCTGTTGCAGCAGTTTGCTTTTAGGCTTTTTTATTGGAGCTCAAAAAACTGTTTAGTTCAAGGCTGTGCAGAGCCTCTGTGGGATTTCACAACTACATTCAGGTATTTTCCAAGCTGAGTAGTTGTGGTTTTGTGACAATTTTCATGAGTTTTCAGTGTCACTCTCCAGCAGAGTGAAATCCAAGGAGCAGAGCCCAAAGAAAACATGTCCTTTATTAATCAAGGACTGAGGTGTATTGTCCTCCTGATACAGTTTGTAAGGGAGACAAAAACTGAGCAGCCACGGAGCTTCCAGTGAGACCCCAGAGAGGTTTACTGGTGCTTTCCAGCATTAAATCTCTCTCCCAAATGTGTGGCTGGCTGTGTGTTGCAGACTCGGAAGACGGCGGGGTGGCTGGCGGCAGAGCTGTCCAGGGAGGGCCATCAGGTGGCCTTGCTCAGCGGGGAGATGATGGTGGAGCAGAGAGCTGCTGTGATCGAGCGCTTCCGAGAGGGCAAGGAGAAGGTGCTGGTGACCACAAATGTCTGTGCCAGAGGTAGGACACGGTGGAATGGGGCCAGGTGATGCCTTAGGAATTTAGTTTTCATATTTTTCGTGGATTTGTAATCCTGGAGTTCTTTAGAGCTCTGAACTCCACGCACGGTGTCAGCCGCTGCGCTCCCGCTTTGGGCAGACAAAATTCCTCTCCAGGGCTGGCAATCGAGGACACCTCACTGCCTCAGAGCCCCAGAAATGGAAACAAAAGGGAGCTGGGGACAGCAAACTTGGGCTAAATGACTTCATTACCTGCAGCTGGAATTGCAGGATTAACCCCCAATGTGCCAATGGACCAAACTCACACAAGTGTGAAAAGCCAAAGTGAGCCGTGGAACATTTTGGGTGCAGCCCCTGGGGGGCTTCGTCTGCCCAAAACGCACCTGAGGCTCTTCAGTAAATACAAGCACTTTTTATTCCCTTAGTTTTGTCTGGCCTCTTTCTAGGTAACCCCAAAAGGCATCACAGGGAGGGGAAGCAGCACTTGCTAAGGTAACACATGCCCCTGGCCAGCTCACAGGAAGAATTCACATCCTCGGGTGTTCCAGCTGGGAGAAATTGGTGTCCTTGCATTGGATGCCTGTGAACAAACACAGGATTCCTTGTTGGATTCTTACTGCTGGAACTGGAAAAGTCCATGCTGTGGATGACCAAGCCTGCCTTGTGCTGCTGACCTTCAGGGTTTGCAGTGAACATGTGCCCAAGGATGGAAAACTGAAAAACAGTGAAAAACAGCTCACTGTCCCAGTAGGAATTTGTGGTGTAATTTGACATCGTAGAACAGTTAAGACAGGATTGTACTTGGAAAAAAACAAGTGGTCTATAGAGCTTTGCAGAGAAGGAAAGAGATTCTGAAATATTTAAGTGCTGATAGAATTTCCAAAATATTTAAGTGCCTTCGGCTGTTTCAGTGGGACTCTCTGCCCTAACAGCTCAATAGTTTTTATTTCCAATATTCCCTGTGAGGATACTGTAGAAAAGCAGCATTTCAGAATCTGAGGAGGCTGTTCCTACTCTAAAAAGGTTCAAGTTTGTAACCTGATGTTTTCTTTTTGTCAGGGATCGATGTAGAGCAGGTCTCTGTTGTTATCAATTTTGATCTGCCTGTGGATAAGGATGGGAATCCAGACAACGAGACCTACCTGCACCGGATCGGCCGCACCGGCCGCTTCGGCAAGCGAGGGCTGGCCATTAACATGGTGGACAGCAAGCACAGCATGAACATTCTCAACAGAATCCAGGAACATTTCAGTACGTACCCTCAGGCTTCCTCCTGCCTCTGAACTGTTGAATGGCTGCAGAATTTGACTTGCTGGATGCTGAGCAGCTCTGAGGGTGGTTGTTGAGCCTTAAACGGGTGGCAGAGGGGCACAGCAGGAGGGTTTGGTGGAGTGTCACTTGGGACTGTGCCCTGCTGCCTGTGACAGGAGAATAAGTCAGGCTGTGTAACTTTTTAATCTGTTTTTTCTCTGTTTCTGCTGCACTTCTTCTCACATGTGGATTTCTCAGTCTCTTCTGAGCTCCTTTGGGATATTCCCTCCCGGGGAGTTCTGTTTATCTCAGTTCTCCAGGTCAGGAAGAAAACTCCAAAGCTCGTTAGGATCTTGTTTCTCCTGTTTATTAGGATGTTATCACAAAACTTGGCAGGTCTCTCCAGACTTTCTGCACAGGTTTAAATCACTACAACCTGGCTCATTTTGGCTCTGATGGTACAAAATGGCTCTGAACTGTGCAGCCTTTTTATCTTTATACTTATTCTTATCAATTAACAATAGACACGTTATTTTTCTTAATGACCTAATGACCCATCACCTGTGTGTTGCACTGTGGCATTTTCTATCCAATCACCTCCTACTACCCAAAAACCTTTAGAAGAAGAAAATGAAGAAGAAAGAAGGAAAAGAGACAACATTCTAAATCCTCCATCTTGTCTTTTGCTTTCTAAACTGTTTTAAACTCTAAACTTCAACTTTTCACCCAGTGACTTAAGAAAAGTCTCTAATCTACGCACTCGTGCTTTTAGCTTTTCTAACTTTAACAGTTCTTTTCATGTATCACCATGAAAACACGCCCATAAATTTCATGTTGTATGAAATTCAGTGTTCTCCTGGATGTCAGAGACAAGGGCTCACACTCTGTGTCTCACACTCCAACAAGGCTGTGTTTGCTGGCTGCCTTGAAGTCCTTGAAGTTGATTTTCCAGGGGTGGGTAACACTGGAGTACCCAGATTGATAAAATGGAACAGTTTTAATTTGTATTTTTAAAACCTGACTGAACATTCCCTGGTAAACCAGAACTCGAGTCCAGCTGAGGAGAGCAGTGTTCCCTTCTCTGCTCTGTGTTACAAAATCTGACCTCTTTCTCTTCTTTCCCAGACAAAAAGATAAACAAATTGGATACTGACGACTTGGATGAAATTGAGAAGATAAATAACTGAAATAGCTGCTGGAACTGGTGTGTGCCCTGCTGTGGAAGCTCTCCCACTACAATTGGATCAGCGTTTGGATTGGCACAGCCTCTCAAAAAGACTCTTCAAGATATGAGTACACAAAAATTACCTCATTTTCAAAATTGCAGTTGGACTTCAAATTGTGCAACTATGGGGAGGAAGAGGAAATGTTTACAGAAGCTTTTAACATTTCTTAGTTTAGCCTTAAAATGGGATGATTGTTGGAATTCTGAGAAATACACTTGCCAAAAGAGAGGCAATAGGGAATTATCTAAAATTTGAAAAGGAAAAAAAAAAAACATTATTGCCTTTAATTGGAATAATTTGCAGCATTAACCTGATCAGTTTAAATTCAACAGCTGAATATATAATGGACATAAGGAAAGGAAAAAAAAACCCTAAAACCCCCAAACAAGGCAGCTGGTTTTTGGCTAAATACTCAACTTGTACAAACTAGGATGTCATTCTCTTTGGCGCTCCCCTGAGCTCTTTAAGACTCATTTCTGGCTTTCTGATGGATTTGCCCTGCTTTTCCTTGCGTAAATTGTTCTGAGGATGTCTCCAGTAGCTCCTACTCGCAAACACAGGTGCCGTGTCGCTTTGCTGGCCAGCATTTTCTTTTCCTTTGTCCTGGATTTGTTGGGATGGCCGCTCTCCGTGCCCTGGGTGGTGGTGGTGACACTACAGAAGTTCATCCCAAGTGTTTAACCTGGTTAAGGTGTGGGTGGGTGGGATGGGACGGGCAGTATGAAGGGAACTGTACTAATTAATTGCCTGATTAAATTCACCTCTGAATGAAATTCACCATGTGGTTAAATGCACCATGCTGTGAAGCTCAGCATGGATAATGTACAGAGCTGTTGGGCTTCACCCATCAGATAGAGGAATAAAAGAACAACAAAAAAAAAAAACCCATGATAGCCTGGATTGACCAAAACAATTTACCCTTAGAACACCAAATTTACCTGTTGCAGTATGTTTCAGTACCAGAGTTTTGAGTTCAATTGCTCAGCCAAATTACAGGTGGGAAGTGCTCCATAGTACAAAATAGGTTGTTGGTCCCTGCCCCGGGGTGTTCCGTGGAGAAGGAAAGATTCTCAACTCCTGGAGAAGGAAGGATAACGCCTGCTGTGTGTTGGGACCACTCTTGTGCACACAGCTGGATGCTGTGGGCTGTTCCCCCAGCCCAGTCTCCAGGAGAAGGAGGCTCCTGAACAGAACTTAGGGTGCACAGCTCTGTGTTTGGGGGAAATGGGACATGCATGAGCAGCCATGGGCCTGCTACTCAGTGTGGGAATCATGTCAAAACAAATGTATAAATTGTAAATTTAAACTGAATTGTTTTCTTTGCAATTTTGGCCATCATATTCTGTTCAAAGACAGGAATATGGATCCTTTTACCAAGTAAAAAAAGGCTCATTTAAAATGTACCTAAAATTTTAGGAAATTGTGCACCCTTTTATCAATTTGTATAAAGGCTTTAGTGAAGAAAAAAAAAAACAGCTTAAAATTAAACTTTTTTGTATTCTGGGGTGTATCTATTTTTATTCTGTTGGACTCCTATTTAAAGTGGCAGGTGAGTGAGTGCTTGTGTGTGGAGTGGAAGACTTGATTTAATCACCTACTTTCCTAGTACAGCTGAATGACCTGGTGACAGCAGAGTATTGGGTTGAATTGTCATGGAAGCTGCTGCTGGTCCTGTGTGCTGTTTCTAATGTACTTTTAATTGGAATTAAAGAACACATACTGAACAAACCCTTTGCTGACTTCTTGCTTGAATGGTTTGTTGGTGTTTAAAAACCTCAGTAAGGATATTCTCAGCTAAAAGTCCTGAAAAGTTTTATATGTGTGACAGAATGAATTTTAATGCTGAAATTCTTAAAAGATTCCCACAAAGAAGTTTCTTAAATGATGCCACACAATAAATGAGGTCAGATAAATATTCTTCCCCCTGTGCTTGTGCTGGGCTTAGAGTTGCTGCTAAAATCTCCCCAGAACAGTTCTGTAGGGAAGAGAACTGAGGGAGAAAAGAGGTGTTTTCTGCATTGTGTGTGTCTAGATCAAGACTTTTTTACCCATCTTTGGAAATGCTGTGGCCTGGGTGAGGTGATTAGGACTAAACTCATCCAGCTTTATCTTAGATATCCAGGAGGAACATCTTCCAGCATGAGAAGTCCACTGTGAGCCAAGTTGCTGAACTGTGTGATTGTTCTTGCTCTCTCACAGGTAAAAACTTCAGGAAGGTTCTTGGAGGGCAGCTGACCTTCCAAAAACCCCTTTGGGCAGCCCATGAGGTATTTGACGTCAAATGAAAGGTTTCTTAAGAGCAGATGTGATGGATAAACCTCAGCTCATGTAAATCATTTCATGTTCAAGTTTCAGCCTAAAAGGTTTTATTTAACACAGGATGGAAACACTCTGAAATGAAGGAGTAACAGTACACACAACAGGCAGAAATAGGGAATTAACTACCTAACACTGAAAGAAACATGGAAAATGGTCCTTTTTCCTGAAACCAAGTGAAATACTTCATGGTTCTGTTGAAGGCATCTATATATTTCAATATCTGGGACTGCTGAGTGATTCCTATCACCAACAGCAGCAGGGACCACTGCTCTTCACATACTGGTTTTATAAAGCTGCTGAACACTTGATTTAGCATCAGGTACCACACTCACAGCCAGCACCAGCAATCAGCTTTCTGTTCCTGTTGTGTTTGTGCTCCTGTGCTGTTTTAGCAGTTACACTGAGCTTCAAAATAAATTTGGTTTACCTCAAAACATTTAAAGTCAGTCCATCTGTGTGGCAAGTGGTCCATTTTTAAAGGAGATTAAAAATCACTGCTTTTGAAATTCCATTAGAAACTAGAAGATATTTTTCATATTTTAGCACAAGCACATTGTGTTAGCCTAAACCTGGTTAGTCACCCAACCAGCCTTTTAATGATGGTTTAGTAAAAGATGGCTTAGTCCTTGAGCTAATTCCCAGTCAAATCCCATTAATACCTTATTTAAAAATTCCCAAAGCAGTACTTGCTCCTTGGACTAACTCCCTGTAGTGCAGAGGGGTTAAATGGAATTATCTCTAACATCTCTTCTTAACTATCCATCTCTTCTTACCTGTGGATCACATGAGCTGAATAAGAGGAGGAAAACTCAAGAGAAAATCCTGCTGCTCCTCAAGACAACCAAAATAATAATTATTTGTTCTTAAAAAGATGATTTAGTCAAAGTTAAGAGCTGGACTGAGGTTACACCTGAGCCCTCACAGGTATTTTATGATCAGTGTTGCAATTTAATACTTCACAATAACTCATTAACGTGTTAATATTGCTATTTCCAGATGGTTTTGGGGTTTGATCTCCTTTTCAGTCTCTTGAGAAGATGTTTAGGATAAAGATAAGCTACTGAAGGTGTTCCTGTAGCTAAACCAGCTCTGCTTCTACCTTCCCAAATGGTGCTTCTGCATTCAGAGAACTGATAACTTCCCAAAACACAGAAAAGGACAAGGGGAGAGGACTTGGAAACCTGAGTGTTCAAAGAACATCAGCAACTTCAACAAACCAGAAAGACTGAAGGTTGGTGGTGCTGAGGCAGAAATTTGTGATGGCACAGGTGACACAAGCTGCTCTGTATGAATCAGGTTTATGCACCTGAAATACTATTTTCTGAAATATTATTTCAAATACTATTACATATCCATAACTGCTTCACCGGTATTTGGTGGGAGTTGGAAGATAAAGAAGTAGGTTTCAGGAAGCATCAGACTCAGTTTTTTGGAAGAAGAAGGACCCACAGCATCTCTCTGTGTGCCTAAAGATCTGCTGCATCATGCTGCTCGTCCTGTCGGATGCACAGCACAGACTTGGGGAGGATCCCGCACTCCTGAAGGGATTTTGTAAGGTCAGAGAAGCTCCTCCGGGGCACCTCCATGGTTTCAACGCTGCACTGTTGGTAGTTGGCCAACAATTTCTGTCCTGCCACAGCAAGAACCGTCTGGAGACTGTCAGAGGGCTTGAAGTGGTGCTCAAACCTCTGCCCAGAGGGAGATCGGACAGCAAGCAGCACGTGTGGCTCTTCCAGGCTTCCAGGGAACACCCGAGGGCTCTCCTGCCTCGCTCGCCTTCCCCACTGCTCAGGGGCACAGTGCATGTGGGAGCTCTCTTCAGTGGGAATGTCACTTCCTGACAATGTGCTGGCAGATCCCTGTTCTCCAGAAAAAGTCTTGATGGCTTTTGGAGCATCCCCCTGCCCCTCAGTCACCTCCAGCCGGTCGGTCCGTTCAGCCAACGCTTCCACGGCACCGCTCCCTACGCCCTTCCGGATGATGGAGGGGAGCACCCGGTACTTGTTCAGGGACGAGGAGCTCTTCAAAGGCACTTGCTGCAGGAGCTTTGGGATTTTCTCAGGAGACACCTGGACAGGTGGGAAGGCCGGTTTTGTGAGTGGTGCTCTCCGGCTGTTCAGCAATTCCCGAGGAGAGGCTGCCGGTGAGGAAGATGGCACACGGCACGGACAGGCTTCCATTCCCTGGCGGTGGCTCAGGCTTGGCCTCTGTCCCTTGGCAGATTTGGGCCTGGTGACGTGCATGGTGCACAGCAGAGTGGCTGTGCCTGGAGGGAAGAGGAGCTGAGCTGGTGCTGAGTCCCAGAAAACCGCTGTGGCCATCGCACCTGCGGGCTGGGAGCAGAGGGAAGAGTTAGAGCAACTGGTCAGGAGAGTTCAACCTCCCTGAGGCTCCCACGCTGTGCAATGTGTCAGGTAATGAGAGAATAAATCTGGGGTATCACTGCCTGGGCAGGCAGAAACCCTGCAGGGCACAAAGGGCTGAGTCACAGAGGGTGGGAGATGCGTTATTTATTTGTAGGGACTGGTTTTGGCAGGAATTGTGTAAAGTTGACCCAGAGCTTCAGGGAGTTGTGCCCTTTGCCACTGAATGTAAGTTTTTGATGGAAAGAACAACTTCTTTCTTCTGAAGCTGGAAACTCACCCCAGGGTGACCTAACTGTGGCTTTCCAGTACCTGAAGGGAGCTGAAGGGAAAGATGGAGACTGTGGACATGGGCCTGGAGTGGCAGGACACAGAGAATGGCTTCCCAGTGCCAGAGGGCAGGGTTAGGTGGGATCTTGGGAAGGAATTCTTCCCTGTGAGGGTGGGGAGAAGCTGTGGCTGCCCCTGGATCCCTGGCAGTGCCCAAGGCCAGGCTGGACGAGGCTTGGAGCAGCCTGGGACAGTGGAAGGTGTCCCTGCCCGTGGCAGGGGTAGAACAAGATGGTCTTTAGGTTCCCTTCCAACCCAAACCCTTCTGAGATTCTATTCTAAACCAAACAGAGCGAACAGCCCCTGTGGTGCTTTGCCAGCGATGTGTTTGTTATTTAACATTTCACTTCTCCTCCAGCTCAGCACAGCTAAGGCAGAGTCCCAGCACACCCTGCCCAGCCCGAGCTGACAGACCTGTCCCTCCTGAGCCTCCAGCGGAGGGGACAGGGACACTCGCCCGGGTGACTCATCCCAGCTTCCCAGGAGCCTGTGGGAGGGACAGGGGCTGTACCTTACCGCCAACAAATAAACTCCAAGGCAACAACGCACCGAGGCAGAACCAACTCCCAAGTGCACGGGAGCACTTACAGATAGTCTCAGTGACGCTGCCACTTCCAAGAATAAACCCCCAACCACCCAACCAACCTGGTGGGACCCTCCACGAGTGTCTGCACTGCCCCAGCACAGCGTATGTTAGAGGGGACAGGCTGAAAACGTGGGCTCTGGAGAGGGCTGGGATGGGGAACCACAGCCAGGGAGGGCTGTGCCCACAGGTGCCCCCAGGGCCGGGGAGGCTGGCACTTCACGCCCCTGACCCACAGCACGGCATCCCAGGCTGGGTCAGGCTGGAAGGGACAATGGAAGCTTATCTGGTGTCCCCTCGGTGCTCCAGCAGGGCCAGCACAGGGCACAGGATTGTGTGCGGATGGGTCTGGAATATCCCCGCTACTCCACACCCTCTCTGGGCAGTTCCAGGTGTTTAAAGAAGTCCTTCCTCATGTTCAAGTGGAACTTCCCGCGCATCAGTCCCTGCCCACTGTCCCTTGTCCTGCTGAGAGCTGGCGCAGCCCCAGGCAGAGCCCTCAGTGCCGGGTGCCGGGGCAGAAGCGCAGCCCCGCTGGCTGAGCCCGGCTCCACAGCCCCAGAAACAGGTCCCGGTCCCGCTCCCTCACCTGCCCCGCTCTCCCCTCACCTGCCCCGCGTTCCTCTCACGGGCCCCGCTCTCCCCTCACCTGCCCCGCTCTCCCCTCACGGGCCCCGCGTTCCCCTCCCGGGCCCCGCTCTCCCCTCACCGGCCCCGCTCTCCCCTCACGGGCCCCGCGCTCCCCTCACCTGCCCCGCGTTCCCCTCCCGGGCCCCGCTCTCCCC